GAATTTTTTGAGGAAACTCCATATTGTTTTTTATTGTGGCTGCAGCCTTTTACATTCCTACCAACAAACAATGCACTAGGGTTTCAATTCCTTCACATCCTAGCTAACATGTGCTCTTTTGTTGTTTTTTTGCTTTTGCTTATTTTTAGGGTTATTTTATTTATTATTATTATTTTTTAGAGAGTTAATGTTTTTTTAATATATTTTATTGATTATGCCATTACAGTTGTTCTATTTCCCCCTTCATTCCCCTCCACTCTGCACACCCCCTCCCCCCACCATTCCCCCTTTAGTTTATGACCACTTGTCTCAAGTTCTTTAGATTCTATATTTCCCATACTATTATTACCCTCCCCCTATCTATTTTCTACCTACCATCTATGCTACTTATTTTCTGTACCTTCTCCCCCCTTCTCCTTCTCCCACTCACCTGTTGCTAACCCTCCATGTGATCTTCATTTCTATGTTTCTGCTCCTGATCTAGCTGTCCTTTCAGTTTGCTTTTGTTTTAGGTGTGGTTGTTAATAACTGTGAGTTTGCTGTCCTTTCACTGTTCATCTTTTTTATCTTCTTTTTCTTAGGTAAGTCCCTTTAACATTTCATATAATAAGGGCTTGGTGATGATGAACTCCTTGAATTTGATCTTATCTGAGAAGCACTTTATCTGTCCTTCCATTCTAAATGAAAGCTTTGCTGGATAGAGCAATCTTGGATGTAGGTCTTTGGATTTCATGAATTGGAATACTTCTTTCCAGCCCCTTCTTGCCTGTAAGGTCTCTTTTGAGAAATCTGTTGACAGTCTGATGGGAACTCCTTTGTAGGTGACTGTCCCCTTATCTCTTGCTGCTTCTAGGATTCTCTCCTTCATTTTAATCTTGGCTAATATAATGATGATGTGCCTTGGTGTGTTTCTTCTTGAGTCCAACTTCTTTGGGACTCTCTGAGCTTCCTGGATTTCCTGGAAGACTATTTCCTTTGCTAGATTGGGGAAGTTCTCCTTTATTATTTGTTCAAGTAAGTTTTCCCCTCATGGCTGTTCCTCTTCCCCTTCTGGTACCCCTATAATTTGGATGTTGGAATGTTTAAAGATGTCCTGAAGGTTCCTAAGCCTCTCCTCATTTTTTTTGAATTCTTGTTTCTTCATCCTTTTCTGTTTGGTCAATTTTTATCCTCCTTCTGGTCCACTCCTTTGATTTGAGTCCCAGTTTCCTTTCTATTGCTATTGGTTTCCTGTGTATTTCCCTTCATTTCAATTAGTTTAGCCTTCATATGTTCCTCTACTTTGTGACTAAAATCAACCAGTTCTGTGAGCATCCTCATCACCAGTGCTTTGAACTGTGCATCTGAAAGTTTGGCTATTTCTTCATTGCTTAGATTTATCAGCTCTGGGGCTCTGAGTTGTTCTTGAGCCATGTTTTGATCTGTTTGTGCCTGTTATGTATGAGGAGTGGAACCTTAGTTATTCACCAGGGCGGGGCCACCCAGGTCGCTGGTTTGTGATGCTGTATGTGGGGGCGGGGTCAGAGAGGGACAATGGCGTTTCCCTCTGCTGCTTCCTGCCCCTGGGGTCTGCTGGGTCAGTCTCACTGCTCGCTCCTTCATTGGTTTATCAGTTTGGCTGAAGGGTTCGTCGTTGTCAGACTTCTGTGTATTCCAATTTTCTATGGTTTGGCTGCATTTTTGTTGCTAAAACTGTGTTGTTTTTAAACTTAGTTGTGTGAGAAGGTGCAGTGCTTCCACCTATGTCTCCATCTTGGTGGAAGTCTCTTATTATTATTATTATTTTGATAACAGTCATTCTAATAGGTATAAGATCAATATGTAATTTTTAGAGGTAGTAGTGTGGGAGTGATACCACATGAAAGTAAGAACCTGAGCTGAGCTGATGGGGGAGAAGGTTTCTAGCTGTGAGTTTCCAGGCTGCACATAGGGATCAAATGTATCAGTGTTTTGATGGCTGTCTCTTTCCACATACTGACTTGGAAAACTGGACCTTTCTACTAAGTCTGAAAACGTTGATCTTGTCTGTTTGTAGACTTTTAAGAAGCGAGAAAACTCAGAGTTGAGTGTCCTGGTTAAGGTATAAGCATGCTCAAGGCCTCTTTTTGTCTTCTGAACTGCTATTCTAATATGTACCACTACTAGGGAGACAGACTATTATGGGCTCAACTCTGTCCCCTGAAGTTCGTATGTTAAAGTCCTAAAACCCAGTACCCCAGAACATGACTGAGTTAGGGCCTTTAAAGAAGTGACTAAGTTAAAATAAAGTCATATGGGTGGGTCCTAATCTAATATGACTGGTGAATTTATAAGAAGAGACAAAAGCACAAACACAGAGGAAAGATGTGTGAAGATACAGGAAGAAGATGGCTATCTGTTAGCCAGTAGAGAGGCCTTGAACTGGTGGGGGAATTCAACCTATGGCCCATGGGCTGCATGTGGCCCAGGATAGCTATGAATGTGGCCCAACACAAAATTATAAATTTACTTAAAATCTTTTTTTGCTCATCAGTTTTCATTAGTGTTTGTGTATTTATTGTGTGGCTCAAGACAACTCTTCTTCCAATGTGGCCCAGAGACACCAAAAGATTGGACACCCCTGCAAATTAGAGGAAACCAGTCCTGCCAACACCTTGATTCTGGACATCTAGCCTCCAGAACTATGGGGCAATATATTTTAGAGTTTAGCCACTCAGTCTGTCGTACTTTGTCATGGCACCCAAGGAAACTAATACAGACCCTCAGAGCTCCCTTCTTTTCTATATTCACACTTTACATTATCTCATCCAGTTCATAGCTTTAAACACCATTTCTATGCTGATGGTCCCAAACGTGAATCCCTCTCTGTGGACTTTCAGCCAGTCTATTCAACCACTGTATTGTATCTATATTCTCCTCTTGGAATTCTAACAAACATCTTCAATTTAACATGTATAATTGGAATACTAAGTAAGCCCAAGCAACTCATGACATATTTAAAACAAGCTCTACTTCTTGCTCTCTACCAACTGTTTAAAATTGTTTCAGTAACATTCCCTTGGTCTTAGAAATGAATTCCAGCAAGCCACAACTCTTCTGCTCACTCTTAAAGATTAGAAATATTCAATGGTTTAGGTAGCAAACATAGTCTCACTCAGAGATTGGAATGCCACAACTTGATATAATGTCAGATCATTTTTTTTCCAAAACACAGGCCTGCTTCAAGCTGAAAACCTGCTCTGGTAGACAGAAAGATAAGCCACTTGACCATTGGTCAACTGGGTATTTTGGTTGGAAGGTTAAATGGCTAGTTACGATTTGGGGTACGTTGTACATCAGCTCAGACTAAACCCACCTAGCAGATTTTGTGAACCTGTCAGGTAAATGAAGTGAGCAAATTTACTTCTGTCTTTTTAGAAACAGGAAGCCAGATTTTGATTCAGAGAGAATATGGAACTCATCCAAGATTGAGTAAGGAGTAACCAGTAAATTCAGGACTTGAAAAATCCATTTGACTCCAAAACTCATTATTTTTGATCTATACTAGTGTTTTTCAAACTGGATTCCCTGGAGCACTAGGATGGTTCAGGCCATATTTGGGGGTTGGAGTGGATTTGGGAGATGTCTTAATTTTTTAAGGCAGCTGTAAAAAATTACTACAAACTAGAGTGACTTAACAGAAATTTATTATCTCACAGTTCCAGTTCTAGACCAAGGTGCTGGCAGGGCCATGCTTCCTCCCAAACTGTGAGGGCAGTCTCTTGTAGTCTCAGGTGTTTCTTGGCTTGTGGCCATAAAACTCCAATCTCTGTCTCTGTCTTCAGGTGGCTGTCTTCCCTCTGTGTCTGTGTTTTCATGTGGCTTTTTCCTCCCTGTGTGTCTCTCTCATCATCTTATTAAGGACACTAGTCATACTGGATTGAGGGCCTATCTTACTCTAGTGTGATTCCACCATAGCTTAACTTATTACATCTGCAATGACCCTATTCCAAAATAAGGTTACATTTCAGGTATCAGGGGTTGGGATTTCAACATATCTTCCAGAAGGACACAACTCAATCCATATCAGGGAGTGAGAAGAGGCCATGTGAGTGGGGTTCTCATCTTTATTCTAATTTCAACTCAGTCTGCCTCCTTTTGCCTGGTTAATATTTTGGAATCCATTAAAAGACTGCTTGAAAACAGAGTGTCACTGCTAATATTGAAAACCACCTATCTACAGTATATGTCACTTTCTACAGAGAAATAAGCAAATACATAATTTATCTGGCTATAGGAACAGCTTTTGACTCATGCTTTAAGACTCTGGTTTTTCTTCTACATGCCTGTCTTATTCATCTTGGGTAGGGCATAAATGACCAGTCACTGCCAATGAGTGTTGCTCTTGAACCACCACTGAGAATAGTGTGAATAGCATCGATCTGGCCATTTTCTCTATTCTTGTTCCCTTTGAGTCTCCTTGAGTTGCCATATGTGCAATTCATGTGTGGTCTGTTCCCCTTGAAAGTTCTGTGTCAAGTATTCCATCTTTTATGCTTTCTGGTGCCCTTGGAAACAAAAGTGTCCTTTAATTAAAGGCAGTGTGTAGCATGGTGACAGGATTACTATTAGTGTCTGGCCTCCGTAAGGACCAGGGAACATTGTGGCCAGAGTTTTCCCATCTGCATAAATGGACTGTTTATATGTTTATAAAAAATTAAAAAGAGTATAACAGTTTTTTCTTGGCTTGCTCTCTGCTCTACTGGCTTCAAGAAAATAGCAGAAATTAGTTCCACAGGACTTGTCTGGCTGTTTCAGTTAACTGAAAACATAAGGTGATATGTTTTTAAATGCATTGTCATTATGCCCCTCATTTCACTGCAGAATGAACAACAGCAATGTTCTGCTGAATATCAATTACAAACATTTCAGGAAGAGCTCAGCAGTTTTGTGAGAATGAAATCATGTTATTCAAGTGTAATGAGCCAAAAAAGAAAAAAATATGGTTTTCATGCACAGTAAAGACCCATGCCCTGGTCATATAAGATCCTTTTCTGCTTTATTACCGGTTTGGAAGGTACAGGGTATTCAGTCTTATGGGCACAAACGTGAAAGGAACATTCTGGGTTAGGTGCTGAGTTGAAGCAAATACCAGGGATAGAGCTTTTGCCAACTAATTATAGGCAGAATATCCAAATACAGAGTTCGCAATGTGCCAGCAATCTAGTGGCCCTACACAAGTTCTCTCCCCTCATGCACAAGAAAAGGGGTTAGCAATGATCAACTCAGAGTAAATTACTTTACAAAGTCAGAACTTACTACATTTTATTATGTATAAAAAGTAAACTCTGAATGAACATAAAAACAAATATTTTCCTTTCAGTTGCACTGACTTTAATTGCCCATTATCTTATCAGCACAATCATATAAACAATAGACTATCACCACAATGTTACAATTGTTATACAGAAAGAATGTGACATTTGACTATTTTAAGAATGTTATACAGAGAAAAATAAAGCAACTGGGGTTGGGTGAACTCCTATAGGATACTGAGATAATCACTCCATTAAAAGAAATAATCTAAACACAAATCTTCAATCAAGAATAATATAGGTAAAGGCCCAAACACACTTCTATTAGATTGACTCAGCATTAGTGGACCAACAGTGCTTTTAATCACTTTGCATTTTAATCTTCCCATAGAACACAAATGCATTTGGGTTTTGGGATACTTAAACTCTTGAGTTCAGAGGAAGATTTTGTAGAATAGCATTATTTCCATAGCACATTCAGGTAGCAGGGGAGTCATTTGGAATTAAAGACAATGATGATGTGTTGGGATCAACTCATAATATATTTGTTAATTTATGGCAAAATAGACATCCTTAGGTAAAAAGTAAAGCAAATGATAGCATCACGCATGCCAATTTTTAAAAATAAACTGAATTGTTTTATTCTTTTTTTCTAGATTCAATTATTAAAATACTTTTTAAAAACTTCAACACCTTGCCCTGGCTGGTATGGCTCAGTGTATTGAGCATCGACCTGCAAACTGAAAGGTCATCAGTTCAATTCCAGGTCAGGGCACATGCCCAGGTTGCAGGCCAGGTCCCCAATTGGGGGCCATGCTACAGGCAACTGATTTATGTATTTCTCACACATTGATGTTTCTACCCTTCCTTTCTCCCTCCCTTCCATTCTCTTTAGAAGTAAATAAATAAAATCTTAAAAAAAAAGAAATTTCAACAACTTTACATATCTATTTCCATAAGATTTGGATTCAAATCAGTTAGTTCCTTGGGTCAATTTCTTTCCCTAGTACCTGCATACAATTCTCTTGGAAGCAAGCATCAATTTCATTAGAGTGACTGAAGACAGAAATTGACTTCTAATCTCTAAATATCTTATATATATTAAAAAATTACATGAGAAAAAGGATATACTTTTTAAAATTCAGAATCTGTAGTTTGTAAAACTACTATCATTTTAGCATGAGCTCAGTGCTGACCTTTTCAGATCAATTGTAAATAACATATTCTTCCAAGATAAATTTTCTAGTAGAATTGGGAAAAATGTAAACTAAATCTGTAGCTCCCGTACCATAAATATTAGCCACTTTGGGCTTAGCACTCTCTCAGGGGTGGTAATAATATATAAGAGCATATTGAATATATGCTTTAGTTTACATAGATAGAATACATGAAATTTCTGAACAATCTACATCTGATATTAGTATAGTTTCTAATATTACTAATATTGCCATTATGCACATTTTCTTGAACATGTGGTAATAACCAGTTTTTATGCCTTTATATGGAGGACAAATTGGAATTCAGCTATGTATTAATTATGGATTGCTGACTGGACAATAGAAGAAAATATTTAAAAATAGTTTTCACCATTAGACTGAAATCTGCATTGGTTTCCACCTAAATATCCAGAAGGTCATCTCCACTTTCATCACTCTCCACAGTCAACTGCCGGGTCCACCACTTCTTAACTTCAGAACCACAGGAAGCTGCATCAGTCATGGGGTTCATTTTGCACACTACAGATTTCATTGTTGTCCGCCCTCCAAATCGTAAGTTGACTGAAGACACTGAGTGGCTTATTGGTTTTGGTGCTGAGGAAATAACAAAAGTCTTATCAACATATTATATTACTCTCGAGCAAGTCATTCCTGAAAAACCATGACATTCTCATATAATGCTTTTGGTGAACAAGTTCTACCCCAGATGTTGAATATGAAACCCTTTCAGCATTCGATTCTTTATATTCACAATAGACTTTAAAATTATGTTCATGGACAACTAGTAATACTATTTGAAAAAAGATGCAGCTTGCCTCCTTGCACTTTGAGATAACTACAAAAACTAAAAAAGTAATCAATGGAAGCTCCAATTTGGGCAAATATAAGTGTCACAGAAATATGCGAGAGTCAGTGCTCATTAGTATTACATATATAAAGAAAAAAAAGGAAAGGACAGTATAATTGACAGTGAGGGGAGAAGAAGGAATGCAGAAAGTAGGGAAATAATTATGTGGGTAAATATTTTTTTTTTGTAAAAATGAACTGAAGTATACCATCAGTGAAGAAGGAATGATTTTGGGACATATTTAGAATTTGCTCAGGGAATATGCCTTTCCAATCCATGAATCCCACTAAAGAAGTGTGTATGAAGACTCAGCTTTGGGATGAGTTTTTGTGTGATGATAGCATCATGGTTTTGGATCCCCTTTCTGTGACCTGTTGATACAGTCTATGGCAAGTTTATGTCTCAAAATTCATGTCCTCAATTGTAAAATGAAGAGAATGCAAATTTCCTCATTGGACAATTGTGAGAATTAAAGTAGATTAAATGAGATGTCCTAAGGAAAATGCATAGCAGAATCCGTATAATCCAAGATTCCTGCTTTTGTGTATATACATTTGAAGGAAATAAAGTATCTTGAAGAGATATCTGTACCCCCATGTTTATTGTGGTGTTACAATAGTCAAGATATGGAAACAACCTAAATGCCCTTCAAAGGACAAATGGTTAAAGAAATTGTGGTATGTATATATATAACAAAATATTCTAGTTTAAGAAAGGAGTCCTGTAATTCACAAAACATATATAAATATGAAGGACATTATGCTAAGTAAAATAAGCCAGATACAGAAAAAAATACTATATGATCTCACTTATTTATAGAATATAAAAAATATCAAAATTCACAGAAGCAGAGAGTGGAATAATGGTTACCAGGGTTGGGAAATATGGAAAATGAGAAGATGGTCAAAGTGTACAAAGTTTCAGTTATGTAAAATGAATTAAGTTCAGCATAGTTAATACTGCCGTACTATAAACTTGAAATTTACTGGTAGAGTAGATCTTAAGTGTTCTCGCCACCCAGAAAAAAATGGTAACTATGTGAGCTGATGCTTATATATTAATACAGTAATCTTTTCATAATGCATGATAATCAAACCATCACATTGTATACTTTAAATATATACCTTTTAAATAAAAAGTAAAATAAAAAGGGAAAGAGAAAAAAGGATAAAAAAGAAGAAAACACATAGCATAGCACTGTAGTACATAGCACCTTAGTGCATTGTTGATGGTCTTTTAAAATGCTATTTTTCTTGCCTTTTTGCCTCTACAAACTAAGCATGTCCCCAATAGCATGTTTCTTTAGTTATCACCATTTCTGACATTGGGGCCACTGAGGGGTGGGTCATTGCATATACTTTGACACCATACTTTTTGTTATCCATTTATATGAAGACCAAGGACTGTGCATTTTCCCTGGGTCATCTTTCCTACTTGTCCAGTATCTGGATTACTGTCACCAGTTTTGGCCATGTCATTGCCTCATGCCCAGACTATTATAACATCCTTTGGCTCCTAATCTTGTTTCCATGCTCAGCAGTAGAAAATTCACTCTCTATTCTGTTGCCAAGTCATTCTTCCTAAAGCACGAATTCCAAATACCATGTCTTGCTCAGAAACTTTTACTGATTCCTAAGAGCCTATAAGATGAAGCTGAAAGCACTCAGCCTGTAATTTATAGCCTTTCATACCATGGCCCCACCAGGTACTCAATTTCGTTTCCCATCACTCCAGCTTTGCTTTACCAGGTGAAAGCTAGGTTTCTCTGATCCCTAAATAATAAACTCTTGGATATGAAATAAGATATTTTCCTTTAAGGTCCACCAAACAGCTTTTACCCTCAAAATCTAAGATACTGTTTTCTGCTTTGTGGAACAGAAGAATTTGCAGTATCATCCACCTTCTCATTTGGATTAAGCTGAAGAAGTGGAGCAATCGAAGAGCATTAGGAAGCCCCTATTTTATTGTGGACTCAGATATTCACAGAGAAAACCAAGCATGAAGGGTAATGGGCTGTGCAGATCATTGTTCCCCCTCTACTCCTGAGTGCCCTTAGTGGGATTGTCCTGGCTTTCCAAAGCCCCATGTTCCCTTAGAAAAAGGATTCTCTTACTGAATGTGGAAAAGAATATAATTGTGAAGATTAACTGAGGAACACACTCAATGCACTTATAATACTGACTGGTATACCGTAAAGTAACATAGCACTAATGTATCATATATCATATCATAGCATTTAAGTTTTATTCCTTCTTTGAGAGCTGTGGCATTTTCTGAATGATCATATCTGCACACTTCTTAGATTAAATAAATTTTTCCAGTTTGCAAATACCTTGAATGCACACAGGAAGCCCTTGGAAATATTTTCCTTTTAGATCTTGGCTATGATATATCTCTTTGTTAAGCACTGCCTTCTAACCATGGTAACTAAAAATGAGAGCCAATATAGTTCTATTGAGAGAAGTTATTTTGATGAAAATATTTTTGATAAGGAGATATATTTTTATGTCTATAAATAACTGTAGATCCACACCTGTATTTTGAAACCCAAGATCCCAAACTCACATACTGTCAATACCTTTAAAATGCCTCAGTCAATGGGGAAAGGGAGTGATGTACATACCAGAGGGCAGACGCCATTGCCCAAACTTCCTTTGGGGTTTCCCAGCATCTGCTGCGTCTTGCCGACTCCCTCCTCTGTCTGACAGAGTGGGGCTCAGAAGCTGCTGCTGGCTGCTTGTCTGCATGGGGAAGAAAAAGGCAGTTATTTTCTTTCTTTTTTTCTAAAATATATTTTATTGATTATGCTATTACAGTTGTCCCATTTCCCCCCTTTATTCCCCTCCACCTTGCCCACCCTCTCCCACACACATTCCCCCCCTTTATTTCATGTCCATGTGTCATCAATTCTTTAGCTTTTATATTTCCCATACTATTCCTGCCCCCCCATCTGTTTTCTACCTATCATTTATGCTACTTATTTTCTATACCTTTCCCCCCTCTCCTCCTTCCACTCCCCTGTTGCTATCCCTCTATGTGATCTCTATTTCTGTGGTTCTGTTCCTGTTCTAGATGTTTGCTTATTTTCTTAACACTGTGCTCTCCTGCTTCTTTCTGCACTGGCCTGAACCCTTGTTTTATTTTAAGAAAGGAAGAAAACATGCTTGTCAATAGACAAATGGGTAAAAAGAGTTGTGTCACATTTACACAACAAAATTCTACTTGGCCACAAAAATGAATGAAATCTTATCTTTTGCAAAAGCATGAATGGAGCAAAGGATATTATGCTATATGAACTAAGTCAGACAGAGACAAATATGATATAATGTTACTTGTGTGTGGTACTGAAAGAACAAAATAAACAAACATGCAAAACAAAAACAGATTCGTAGATACAGAGAACAGACTGATGTCAGAAGGGAGCTTGAGGGAATGGGTGAAAAAGGTAAAGAGATTAAGAAGTACAAATTGGTGGTTATAAAATAGTCACTGGGATGTAAAGGGCAGTATAGGAAATATAGTTAGTAATATTGAACTAACTGTGCATGGTGCCAGGTGGGTACTTGAAATATTGGGGAACAACTCTGCAAAGTACATGACTGTCTAACCACTATGCTGTACACCTGGAACTAATACAGAATAATATTGAATGTAAACTGTAATTGAAAAGAATAAAGAAACATGACAGGAAACAAGTGGGAAAATATGGATACATCATGTCAACAATGGGGAAAGGAAAAGTGAAAATGGATAAAAAGGAGTCATGGAAAATGAGAGTCACCACTGCACATGGTAAAGAAAGGAGGTGTGACTCTCCAGGTGGTGTCATTTCTTTGACACCCTTCTAAGAAGGGTGTCTCACAGCCACATTCCTTTCACAAATGATAGCCATTAACCTAGACCAAGGATGGTGGCATTCAGGAAGGAAAGTGGGGCAGCAGGGACTGACTGGTTTGGGGAAAGCACACTCTTGCCAACCTGGAAGGTCAATGCCTGGACCTTCAGGAAGAAATGTCTCTGCAGACTGAGCTGTGATGGGCCCTGGAGGAGACTGAAACTTATACCAATTAAAAGTAAAGTCAAAGGAAAATGCTGAGACTCTCCACACACTTTCCTCACTCTCTGGTTTATCGTCACTTCATCCTTCCTTATCAGCATATTGGTTTTCACACTGCTTCAATATTCCCTCTTGGTGTTTTGGATATTTTTTTTAACCTAGAACTAGAGAACTCTGCAATCATCACTTTCCCTGGTTCATTAGCCCAATCTGACTATCTGATCTTATCTCAGCCCCACACATTGAGGCACTGACAGCCATCCTCAGGGCACATAGGTGGCAGGCCATTTTAGAAACCTCCCAGTCCCTCTTTGTTGACTGTCTCCTGAACGAGTCCCTGTAATCAGTGACAGATGATTCCTCCAGGCTGGGGAGCCAACAACATGAAATCCGCTCAAATCTAGGCTATAAAAAGGGTTCCTTGGAGCATTCCATTGGGCCATGAAGCCTGAGGCTTCACTATTTATTGCTGGCCCCTGACTGTGTCACTACACAATAGGAAACCTAATCCTGCCAGGGGGCTCATCGCCACACAATCCATAAATGCATCCTCACAAAGCGCAGGATATACTGCCAGCTGCTTCTCATACCACAAGGCTCTCCAGGACATGGGTGACTCTCTGTGGTTTTTTTATGGACATGTAGATTGAATTTAGAAATAAAAATATGCTGCGCCCTACTAAACAGAAAATCCTCAAGTTAATCATCCCCAAATTCCACATGCTCTTCTCATGCTCAACTGAGGAAGAACAAATCCTCAGTGTGTCTATTTAAGGAGGTTGAAGGCCAATTTCAAACATTTTCACTGATTTTATTGAAAGTGTCTATGACTTGGTAAGAGAAAACATTTAGGGTAGAGTTTGAGGCAAACCATGTCTCCTAAATCATATAATATAGCCACTCAAATTAAGTCCTTACAATGGTGATGTTAACTGTTTAGACAAAAATCAATAGAATTATTAAATCCAAGACATTAATATAATTTGAATAGCCATACAAATCAAAATCTTTTGAAATAACTCAGGGACAGAAAAGATACATATACAATCTGGATCATTATGTTCTAATTGTTTTTAATGTGTAAACTTCTTATTAGATATTTTGTTACCTTGTTTGAAATGGCTATGTGAACAACACCAATTTATCCTACTTTTAAAAAAATGTGTGGAATATCCTTGAATGAAGGACATCTCATACCCATACCTCAGGTTGCGTATTATTATCCTGACTGTTGGCGTTCATTTCTTCACTGGGCTGGGTGGTCTCAATACTGGGGGGATTCAGAAACCGGCTCAGCTCCTGTTGTTGGCTCTCTCTCAGGCTGTGAATGATGCTGCATGACTGCTGCTGTTTCTGCAGAAATATAATTGTTCTTTCAGGAATAAAAAAATCAGGCCAAAATCCCCCTGCCCCTACCAGTCAAGTCATATTTTCTTCTCTCTTCTCCAAAGACCCTGTAGGCTTGGTGACCTCTTAGGAACTTTCAAATTAAGGACCTTTAACTAATTTCCCTGATAACTATCACACTGCTATAAAGAAAGGCTTGGAAATTTAGAAATTGCTTACTCCTTCCATTTTCATATGCATAACAATTGGGATAATGTTCATGGATAGTAGCTTGTATTTTATTTAAAATAGAATTTTTAAATGACTAATGTTGTTGGCAGTCTGTTTTTCCCTCCTTCTTATTCTGTGCTCATCAAGCCAGTGTGGATCACGCCTTTCTTCTAAGTTGTAAGGGGCAGAGAGCCTTGGGTGGATAAGTGAAACTCTCATTCTTATCTTGGTTCTCGACTGGAACAGGCCAGTTCAGCAGGCCAATCTGTCTTGGCACATACTGGGGCCATGGCAGTCTAGTGGTAGACCAGCACTCTCTGAGTTCCCTTAGGGCCTCTGGAAGGCAGATTCTATCCCTGGAACTAGCAGAGCTTTGGTGGACTAGCTGTGACAGTTGTGACAGCTGCCTGGCTATAGGGGATTGTGGTGTTTTGTTTCTCTAGGGCCCTTTTCTTGTCTGATAGAAAGATATGTTTCTGCAGTTGGTATTCTGAGAAACAGGATTTTAAAAGTCTGTTATGTATAAATGTTTAGTGATTAACCTGATTTTTTTACCCATGTGTAAAGCATAAATCAAAAGCATTCATAAAATTAATTACCCAATAGAAATGCCTACTGTAAACAGCATATACAAATACAGTAAATTGTGTTTGAATACACAGTTCATTGATTTATGATTTGGAGAATCTTATAAGCTTATAGTTCAGGAAATAGAAAACAGATTGTTTAACTCTCACAAAAGGTGGTCTTTAAGTAAAGACCACACAAAATTATCAACAATAAACTGGAACTTTAGCAACAATTTAAAGGTAGTTTTGTAAATTCAATTGCCAGTCAATATGTAGAGATTTCTGGCAGTTTAAACAGCTGAGTTTAATAAATTCACAGCATAAATATTTTCCTTTCAATAAACTGCTTCTTAAAAATTCACATTGTATTATAAAAATGTGATTTATGTAAATTTATGGATTTTGCTGAAGAGGGTACAGCTAAATTTGGAGTAGAGTTAAGGTCTGACTCATCATCTGACCATCATAAGTGGATGAAGTTGACATAGGAAAGTTTAAGGAAAGAAGAAAGAAGTTTAAGGAAAGAAGAAGAGATATAAGACTAATCACAGTAGGATCTAATCTCTTTGTGCATGAAGCCCTTGAAAAAGAAAGTAAAATCCCAGATGCTTCTGGTCCACTCACGGCTCTGATGCGCTTTAAGCACTTTTTCAACCACATTCGGATTGTCTGCTTGGCCACTTCCTCCTCAATGGTGTACTCCAGCTGCTCCCTGGCAAGCAGCTCCTCCAACTGCAAACTCTTTCGGATGTCAACTGACCGGTAGGAGAGCATGCTGGTGGGGGAAATGCAACAACCATTGCTGTTCTGATTTACCTGGGATTTAGACTCTTAGAAATCTCAAAATCCAGAGATAACATAATTCAATACAACCAAAGTAGTATTCTGATGCCACCTTGACAAACTAGATAGCTTGGGGTAGTTATGTCACCTCACTGTCTCTCTTCTTTCATCTGTAAAATGGGACAGTCATAGTACCTACTTTATTAGATGATTAAGCATATTGATATTTATGGGGTGCTTATAAAAGTAAAGGCTATAAGAGTGTCTGTAAATCAAAAGATTTAGGCTATGCCCTGACAATCAGCTGATTAAGACTCTGAAACTTTTCCTGTAGAAGGAAAACTGCTCTCTCTGTACTTTCTTCTCATGGAGCTCCAACTGGTGATGGTTAATATGCTTGGCTATTGGTCATGCATCTGCCTCTACCCATTTCCCTCTCAATTTATCTCATCTGTCCCCTTGAATATTCCTCATTAATACTGATGGATGCAAAGCCAGGATGAAACATTCACTCCCATTCAGCCCTTGGCACAGTAGGCCTAGACAGTGGTAAATGAAACCAACATAGCTAATATGTTTTATGGGGGCTCCTGGGAAATAAGGCAACTCATGAGTTTAGGCTGAAGAATCCATAACCAAAGGAATATGCAGCCCCCTCTGGCAGCTTGGTGCTCCCTGATACAGATGCAGGATCCCAGTTATTGCTCCACCTTTGTCTGGACAGGGTGGGACCTTAGTTCTAGCTCTTAGCCCCAGTGACAGCGTGGAGGCACTTGAGAGGCCCCTCCCCTTCCAGCACTGGTACAATGGCCTCTTTATGCTAAAGTTTTTTTTTTTATCATGGAAGAAAAAAGGTCATTTCCTCTTTCTTCCCTGCCTCATTAAAAACCTTATTATTGCTGAACTGTTTTCATTATACACTGGACCAGGGGGATAGGAAGGGGCAAATGATGCCACCATTGACTTTGACTGGCTTATTTTATCAGATGTATACTGAGTTCCAAAGAGGCTGAATAATAATTATTAATGACAGTGGTATGCTATATGCCTAATTTTCAGCCTAAAAATATTTGTCACTAGAAGAAAAGACTAAGTGATATTAGCTTATTTTTAAAAATTATATTATTATTGTTCAATTACAGTTGTCTTCATTTCCCCCTCACCACTCCCCCCCACCCACTATGCCAGCCAAACGCACCTCCATCCCTTGCTTCCATCCTCCACCTTGTTTTGTCCATGTGTCCTTTATAGTAATTCCTGAAAACACTTCCCCCATTGTACCCTTCCTGCTCCCCTCTGGCTATTGTTAGATTGTTCTCAACTTCAATGTCTCTGGGTATATTTTGTTTGCTTTTCTCTTTTGTTGATTATGTTCCAGTTAAATGTGAGATCATATGGTATTTGTCCCACACTGCCTGGCTTATTTCACTTAGCATAATGCTTTCCAGTTCTATCCATGCTGTTGCAAAGGGTAGGAACTCCTTCTTTCTCATTGCTGCATAGAATCACATTGTGTAAATGTACCATATTTTTTTGATCCATTCATTTCCTGATGGGCCCCTAGGTTGCTTCCAACACTTGGCTATTACAAATTGTGATGCTATGAACATTGGGGTGCAAGGTGCTTTTGGATTGGTGTTTCAGGGCTCTTAGGATATAATCTCAGCACTGGAATTGCTGGGTCAAAAGGCAGTTCCATTTTTAGTTTTCTGAGGAAATTCCATACTGTTATCTGAAGTGGCTGCACCAGTCTGCATTCCCAGCAACAGTGCACTAATGTTCTCTTTTCTCCATATCCTCTCCACCACTTGTTTTTTTATTTATGATCGCCATTCAGACCAGTGTGAAGTGGTATATCATTGTGGTTTTAATTTGCATCTAATGGCTGGTGATGCTGAGCATCTTTTCATGTGTCTCTGGATCCTCTGTATGTCCTCCTTGGAGAAGTGTGTGTTCAGGTCCTTTGCCCATTTTTAATTGTGTTTTTTTATTTTCCTGGAGTGGAGACCAGTGAGTTCTTTGTTTTTGAGATCAAACCCTTGTCCAAGGTATCATTGTCAAATATGTTTTCCCATGTAGTTGGTTCTCTTTTCATTTTAGCGCTGTTTTTTTTTAAGCCATGCAGAAGCTTTTAATTTGATGCAGTCCCATTTTTTTATATTATTTCCTTTGTGTCCCTTGCTTTAGGGGACATGTCAGTGAAAATATTGCTGTATGGAATGTCTGAGATTTTCCTGCTGATGTTTTCCTCCAAGACTTTTATGGTGTTACAACTTATATTTAAGTCTTTTATCCACATTGAATTTATTTTTGTGTATGGTGTAAGTTGGTGCTCAAGTTTCATTTTTTTGCATGTAGCTGTCCAGCTCTCCCAACACCTTTTATTCAAGAGGCTATCTTTTCTCCATTTTATGTTATTGCTCCCTTTGTTGAGTATTAATTGCCCATAGAGACTTGGGTTTATTTCTGGGCTCTCTGTTCTGTTCCATTGGCCTATGTGCCTGTTTTTATGCCAGTAGCAGGCTGTTTTGATTACAGTGGCCTTTTAATATAGTTTGGTTCTCAGGTATTGTGATTCCTCCTACTCTGTTCTTCTTTCTAAAAATTGCTTCAGGTATTCAGGGTCATTTATGGTTCCATACAAATTTTTGAAGTGTTTGTTGTATATCTGTGAAATATGTCATTAGTACTTTAATAGGGATTGCATTGAATTTATAAATTGCATCAGGTAGTATGGACATTTTGATGATACTAATGCTTCTAATCCATGAACATGGTATATGCTTTCATTTGTTGGTGTCTTCCTTGATTTCTTTCTTCAGTGTTGTATTGTTTCCTGAGTATACGTCTTTTACCTCCTTGGTTAAGTTTATTTCTAGGTAGTTTATTTTTCTTGTTGCTGCATTAAATGTTTTTTTTCCTGATTTCTGTTTCTAATATTTCATTGTTGGTGTACAAAAATGACTTTGATTTCTGAATATTGACTTTGTATCTCTCTGTTTTGCCAAATTCACTAATTAGGTGGAGTAGTTATTTGGTGGAGTCTATGGGAATTTTTATATACACTATTATGTCATCTGCAAACAACAATAATTTTGCATTCTCCTTTATAATGTAGATGCCTTGTATTTCTTTTTCTTGTCTGATTGCTGTGGCTAGGACTTCCAATACTATGTTGAATAGGAGTGGTGAAAGCAGGCATCCTTGTCTTGTTTTTTATCTTAGTGGGAAAGCTGTAAGTTTTTGCCAATTGAGTATGATGTTGGCCTTAAGTCTCTCACACATGGCCTTTATTATGTTGATGAATGCCCCCTCTATTCCCACTTTGCTAAGTGTTCTTATCATAAATCAGTACTGTACCTTATCAAATGCTTTTCCCTCATCTATTGATATGATCATGTGATTTTTGTCTTTGCTTTTGTTTATGTGATGTATTACCTTTATTGATTTGTGAATATTGTACCATCCTTGCATCCCTGGGATAAATCCCACTTAGTCAGAATGTATGATCTTTTTAATGTATTGCTGGATGCAGTTTGTGAATATTTTGTTCAGGATTTTAGCATCTATGTTTATCAGCAATATTGGCCTGAAGTTTTCCTTCTTTGTTGTATCTTTATCTGGTTTCAGTATTAGGATGATGCAGGCTTCATAAAAAAAGTTTGGGAGTCTTCTATCTTCTTGAATTTTTTTGAATTATTTGTGAAGGAGGGGGGTTAACTACTCCTTAAATGCTTTATATAATTCCCCTGTGAAACCCTCCAGTCCAAGGTTTTTGTGTGTTGGCAGTTTATTGATTAGTGCTTTGATTTCATCAGCTGTTATCAGTACATTCAGGACTTCTTCATTCAGATTGAAAGATTATATTTTTCTAGAAATTTGTCCACTTTACCCAGGTTTTCATATTTCTTGGCATACAGTTCTTCATAGTAATTTCTTACAATCCTTTGTATTTCTGTGGTATCAGTTGTAATCTCTCCTCTTTCATTTCTGATTGTGTTTATTTTGGGTCCTCTCTCTCTCTTTTTTTTTTCTTTCACAATGAGCCTGCCTAATGGCTTGTGGATTTTATTTATCTTTTCACAAAGAACCAACTCCTGAATTCATTGATCCTTAGAATTGTGCTTTTAGTCTCTATGTCATTTAATTCTGCTCTGATCTTGGTTATTTCCTCTCTTCTACTTGCTTTGTGGTCTTTGTTGTTTTTCCTCGAGTTCTTGTAGGTGTAGGGTTAGGTTGTTTATTTGAAATGTTTTTATCTTTTTTCAGTAGGCCTGTAGTGCTATGAACTTTCCTGTCAGGACTGGCTTTGCTGTGTCCCATAAGTTTTGGATTGTTGTAAGTTCATTTTTTTGTTTGTTTGTTTCCAGAAACTTTTTGATTCCTTACTTTGATTCCTTAATTTCACTCTTGATTCATTCATTGTTTAATTGCATGCTATTCAATCTCCATGAGTTTGAGTATTTTGGGTTTTTTCCTTGAGGTTGGTTTCTAGTTTCAGTCCCTTGTGGTCAGAGAAAATGCTTGATATGATTTTCAATTTTCTTGAATTTGTTGAGGCTTATTTTGTGTCCTATCATGTGGTCTATCTTTGAAAATGTTCCAAGTGGGCAGCGACCAGAGGGGAGAGGGACGGGAATTTAAGGGGAAAAATGGGGAGGGATTTTGAGGAACAAGTATGAAAGACACAGGGATGAGGACTGGGGGGGGGGGGGAATGGGAGGGAGGTGGGGAGACGGGGCAGGGGGTGCTGGGATGGGAGAAATAGACAAAAAAAACTGTACTTGAAAAATAACTAAATAAAAAATGATAAAAAAAGGAAAAAAAAAGAAAATATTCCATGTGCATTTGAAAACAATATGTATTTAGCTTTTTTGGGATGAAGGGCTCTATATATATCAATTAAGTCCATTTCATCTAGGGCATTGTTCAATGACACAATATCTTTCTTGATATTTTGTTTGGAAGATCTGTCCTTTTTTTTCAGTGGAG